TAACCGCATGGCGGCGCTAGAGGAGAAGTCAAAGAATCACCAACGTCATGACAGTTTATCCTGTTTGCACTCTTTAGGAGTGGCTCAGTTAAATCATAATATGGCAAGGCAAGGAGTCAATCCAGCAATGACTGCATTTAGTAAATTCAGCATTTAACAGCAGATGGATTCTCCCTGCAGTCCCTGAACAACTTTATTTCAAAATTATTTGGCAACACAGCACACTGGAGTTAAATTTAGGGAAGGTTTAAAGGTATCAAAGTTTGAATCTCATCCAGCCTTCATAAAAACTCAATTACTGGCATCTGCCGTGAGACAGATGAATAGTCAGTTCACTTCTAGCCATTTTTAAGAATCGTCACATTACTGAACTGGATTCTTGTTCATTACAAATGATATATGAATTACATTGCAGGTTTACGGAGGATATCTGCCTAAAGAATATACTGTGCTTTGACTGCTCCACAGCCTTAATGGTGGCTTGTAATTGCTCTATCATCTATACTAATGTGCACTCTGTGCCCCTTTCAAAACAAAAACATTGCATTTCCTTTTTTTTTCCATTGTGGACCGTCTGAGCATTGCAGCCAATAGAGTGAGGTCTCTCAGATCCAGGGAACAGAGAAAACAATGTCATATTCATAAGCAGAGACATCAGCTCTCCTCCTCATTACCACAGCACAGTCATGAATGGAAGCTTCTGTCCCCACAATCATGAAAGGACCTGTCATCTGTCTGTTTCTCCTAATTGACTGTTTACTACATTTCGACACAGACAGACAGACGGAGACATTTTTCATCGTCCTCAGTTTGTCATTCAGTTTGACACCGCAGTACAAATCCCTTAGATAGAAATGTCCCACGTTTCTACTCACTACATGACTCAAAGTGATAGCAGGTCTACAGCACCACTCCTGCGACCTTGACAGAACAACCTCATACAGTTTTTACTTGAAGGTCCCACTATTAAGTAAGTGAAGAACAAAAGCTCGTACTCAGCACCCAAGGTGATGTTTTTGAGATTGGAGATTGGACTCTTTCAGATACTGAAAAGAATCAAAGATAGAAAGAATTTTATTTCTTTTTTTATCCGCTAACATGGACCTCTATAACCAAGTTGTTTCTATATAAACTGACTGACTTGCCCCAACCTCTGACTTGGGAAGAACAAATACTAAAGGGAAATCTGCCTATTCACTTGGAGCTGCAAGGACCTTCTGCGCCCAAATCCATTTAAAAAAAAGCGTCTCAAAAGAGAGCGTGAGGTTCGATCGTGGACGCACATTCCCACTCTTGCCATGCTCAGGCAAGGTGGTAATGGTTTACAAAACACTCCATCTGCAGACGAAAACTTCACACATACACAGCAGAGACGGTCAAAGCAGATACAGCAAGTAAACATCCTGAAGGTGTGATGTACTTTAACCAACATGACTTACTTTGTTACATGTGATACCAGTGGCTTAGTTCCTTACATGCATTAGCTGCCAATTCTCTCCCATCCCCTCCCTTTCCAACAGTAAGATTAGCTGCCACCGCATAAAGTAGTGCCATGCATTATCAAGCAATTAGAGTGAAGCTTATTAAGCAGAGTTTAATGCAAATTTAATGAGCACTAAATTCAATTTCTTTAAATAGAAGAGTTTATTATTGTTACAAATGATGTACGGTGGTGATCTCGAACGTACCGGCGATGAAATACTTCACAAGAGGGCACATATCAATGGGCCATTAAGTGTGGTATTAAATTTATACTGAAACATGGCACTGTACCGTAAGTGCTATTTTATAGATAGTGGAGAGAAGGCCACTTCAGTTTGCAACAGAGATAGCACTGAGGCTCTGCATGTGGTTCTGACTCGGTAGTAGGTATTACTTGATTAATCGATTATTCTTTCGACAGAGGTTTCAGCCTCTTCATTTGTGAGGGTCTGCTGTTTCTTTATATTCTGTGAGTTTAGACAAAACAAGCGATTTGTTGGCGTCACCTCTGCTTTGGGGAGTTTTTCTTAACATTATTTTTTGATTATATTTCGATCAAGTGATCAATCAATGAATCACATTCAAGCACACTACTTGCACTTGAATATATATTTTTTTACTTCATTCCATTTGAGAGGCAAACAGCTGGTGTGTATTTACTTCATTACATTATTTGACGACTGCAGTTACATTGCAGAATAAATTATTTAAATCATAATTTTAAACACAAAACAAATGAGGGCCTGATCACAGAATGTTGCATTCTGATGCATTTAATTTAATTTAATTTAGCCCAAACTTCCAACACCTAGCACATTAAAATGCTGCTTACACATACTGTTAAGGCATCAGTAAAAAATAATGCAGTAAGATATAATACTTTATAACACTCAGAGGGGAAATGTTTCTGCGTAATGGTACTTTAAGTATATTTTGCTGTTTTCTTTTGTAAAATGTTGAATGCAGGACTTGAATGAAGTATTTAACACTGCTGTAATTCTACTTTTACTTAAATCAAGGATCTGAGCCCTTGTACTACCACTGGCCCTAGATTGGCTTATATTCAGGACTCAACAGAAGTATGCATATATAGGTGTGAATGTTCTTCCGGTACTGGGGGCCGCACTATGCACCACTGACAAGTACATGTGAAAAACACAGGGAGATCAACACTCGTATGATAACTGGGGAAATAAAAAACAAAACACCAGAACATACTCGCTGTAAGCAAACACAAACTGAGGGCAGAGCAGCACACTGCTGGCCGATTTCCGCAGTATCCTTTTCAAAGCCGAACCCCACCATAAGCAGCAAGAGACGGACATCTTCAATTACTCACCCTGTCACGTGCCAACTGGCAGACCAAGGGCACCGTAACAACTGTATGTTTCCTTTTGTTTCTCTGAGATCCCGTCCTTCAGCGGTGCCTTGAGGCTTCATGACAGCTCGTATTGATCCATTTCACCATCACTCAGCTCTGACGAATGACTTGAAGCTGGCAATAAGTGGGATTATGCAACCTTCTGTAATTAGTCCATCTGATATGGTACAGCAGGCCGAGCCCCAGGAGACGCAGGGAGAGAAAATACTGCTAAACAGATTATTTGTTAAAATGCAAAGTGTCAGCATTTCATAACAGGGTGCCCAGCCCAGGCAGCTCTTTAGCTCTATCATTCCCTGTGTGTACTGTAGGAACAACTTTCTCTTATGACAGTCAGGGTCAGCTTCTTTCTTTAACACACCCTATTTCCTTGGTATCTTTATAACAAACTGAACACCTATTGTGACAGGCAGCATCCAGTTAGTGGGGCTGTTCACCTCTTGCCAGATATGGAGACAAAGTTCAAATCCATTGATTGTGGATTATTAACAAAGAAAAATTGGAAGGCTGTCAAAAAGCAGACCGTCAGCACTTCAAAAAAGCTCGAGCTTGGGGCTTTTTTCCTGCTCCCAGCAGCTGCCACAGAGACAATCAAACAAATAAAATGCCTGATGTCAGATCAGACTTTCTCTGGCTTGCATGGGGACTTTACCTGAACTAAGAGGCCGCATCAGCTTCCTGCTGCTGCAAGCCTCGGTGTATTGAGCTTGAGGTTGCTGCTCATTATTTTGTTTGACTGTGAGGTTAATTAACTTAATGTGACAAGGATACTCTAGACAATGCTGTGAATGTCATTCAACGGTGACCATAATAAATCCACCAATTGTAAAAATGAAAGCATTGCATCTGTAAAAATAAAAAATCCCACTGTAAAAAAATAAAAAAGTCCTTTATTTAGTAGCCTCACCTCAATTTGGGAGCAGGTTTCTAATCTCACACCACACACACGCAGACACACAAAGAGGCTTTGTTGAGTTTTTGCAGACCTGTTGATGTGTGATGCAGATGTCAATATGTGTAGCCACCAATGGCACTATCAGAAACAGAAATTAAATAAATAAGAAGTCGCTCAAGTAGACTTCCAAGTGTAAAGCTGTCATCGCAACTGTTGCTTGCCATTTTAACAACCCGGGGATTGACAACACAACATGTCCATCCCACCGCTGGGAGGCATTTAAAGCGGCTGCAAGCTGACATTTTAACCACTTTACATGCGTCAGTATTGTCATACGTTTTCCAGGAACAAAAACGAAACACTGACGCATGCGACTCTGATGCACCCGCGGTGAAATAACAGGGGAAACGATCGGACTGTGGGGCTCCAATGGTTTGCACAGTTAGGCACCCCTGGTTCATGCAGTTTCACACTGTAAAAAAAAAAGGGGGAGGGGGGGACAAAGCCCCAACAAGCGACATGGCAGATTTACATCTCCAGCCTCAATGACAGGAGGAGAAGTGAAGACTGCGGACTGGAACACACACTGGCATCCCAGGCTGCAGTTGTGCGGCCAGAGGACACTGCGAGACTAGAGCTGCAATGCGTGTTTTTTCCTCCAAAGCGCACCTGAAGCGCAGACTTGGGAGATTTGTAGACCGTGGATGAGTTGGGACTGTGGGGGTTTATGCGGTACGAACAAAACGGTACAAGTGCGATGGAGCCGTGTTCTCTCGTGAACGGAGAATCGGCCGTATTTCATGATAAAAGAGCCACGTTTCACGACACATTGCCTTAAACTTGCCCTGTGGGTCTGAATACTGTACGACCATTTCACCCGATCGTCGCTGCTGATACTTTCTCTCCGCCGATGCAATTGTGCGGCACTAACACTACTTTTTATAGCACTCCTCTGTCGCTACTACACAGGACAACACCCTTCCAATCAGCGCTCAAATTACGAGATAAGTAGCCCAACAGTCACGAGAAACAGCGTGGATGTTTTGGAGTCGACAGCGGTATCGCAGTCAGTAGAAAGTGATGCTGAGATTCGTGGTGGAAGCTTGTGCGCATCTAGCGCGCAAACGCACCACAACTTCTCCCCGGTGCTCCTCTTGCTTTAGCTGCGTGAAGCGGGTAATTGTGCATCACGGACACACACATACACACACACAACAAACGCGCGAGAAACCAAAAACTTACCTTTCCGAAGAAACGCCGCTGAAATCACGAAAACTGAGAGAGAAATAGCGAGAGATCCGCTCCCCGTGATCGCCATGTTGGACACCTGCTTGAGACTGGCGGCGCTAAATCACCTAGAGACGGCCATGGGATGAAAATGTAGACACATGAGAGGCGGAGGGAGGGCTCAAGCAGGGAGCCTGCTATCATACTGGGCTGCATTATGTTGCGATGACATCTATGCCTATAAAATAATGTAGGAATATTACAGTCATATCTTAAATAATGTCAAAACAGTGATACTGTCCTTCTAGACTGCCACTAAAAAAAAGCCACACTGTAATTCCCAATAGGAATATTGAAGGGGTATTACAGTGATACCATGGGAAGTGTAAAATACAATGGAGCGCGGTGAGGTAACCATAAACTCACCACCGAGAACCACAGACACTTTATAGGAATATTATAGTCATTTTCTTTTATGGTTATAGTCTGTTAGTTCATGTGGATGAGACCAACATATACTCATCTGGCTGCGCTGTGGTTTTTATAGCTGAAGCACAAATGAGATAAAACACCTTTTAGTTTATGTTTATTATACAGTATAGGCTAGTCAGCTCAATAGCAGCGTGAGCTTCTGTTTGTTGACGGGAGTGTGCATTCTAATCTGTTTAAGGCTGCAGACAAAGAGAGGATGTGTCTATATGACACTTTTTTTGTGTGGAAGAACACACATTTATGCTACTTTTTTTAGAACCAAAATTGAAATCAAACTGTAACATATTGAGTATTCAGTGACAAAACAACAACAACAACATATGTTTGGTAAAAGGACAGTAATGATGGTGCTCTACCTCATTGAAACCTGTTTAACCATATTCCTACAAACTGGGGTCCCCACAGACCCCAGAGCTATACTTTTAATCATATCATGTGCTTGATTCTATCGTTCCAATTTTCCACGACTTTGTCAATTAGTGTGTTCCTAATAACTTCCTATCTTTTGTTTAGTGCTTTTTGAAAAATACCAATATGTATAATATGTATTGGGGTCCGGGGGGGACACCGGTCAAAAGCATCCAATTCCGCCTATATGCAGTTTTAATAGATGGAAATATGTGTGGAGTTCACGTTTGCCGTGGTGCCTAATTTAAAGTATCATGCTGTCAGTGGGGTTGGGGCACTCTGTCAGTCATTTTCAAGGAGACAGACACAAATGCAGCAGGCACAGATTTCCTCATGTGCTCTGTCTATTTTCATTTTACACGATATGCAAATGAACTGTAACTTTCGTAAAATCATAATCAAAATATTAATAATAATTTAACAACATTCATTACATAACTGATACTGTTTTGAAAAGAACTAAGTTAACATTTTGCTATGATGGTTGTTTGTTCATTCTCAGTCAGTAGTCCTATTATGTTATGAATATGTTGGTAGAATGAGGGTTTATTAAGAGAATGATAATTAAGTTTCGTGAAACTCCGGTTCTCGAGCTATTGATGTCTACTCAAAGACACTCGCCTTGCTTTGAATGGTGCATTACATCTCTGACACTTGGCATGCTCCGCAAAATTGGGAAACAAAAATCACATTTGAATTTCACATTTTAAAATCCGACTGCTTGAATGGAAATTAAATACTGTAGATTATTAATAACTGTGACCGATTCAACTCTCTCCGCCACTCTCTCTGTGTGTGCTTTATTATATTTTGTAATGTTTCAACCCTCCCGAACTCATTCTCACCTGAAACAGTATACATTTGAAATATCTTGTGGGAATCACAGGGGCTACAGAAAACCGTGCATGACAACGTTGAATCTCATTTCCCTTCTTCATTGTGTCAAAACAGCACAAAGGCTGCTAATTGCACAATCTATTCTCTGAGACTGCGTGTCAGTCCTCATTCCATGGATGAGTAGATAGCATTTAGAGCTTCACTCTAATGCTGCAGCCGTCCCTATCACTACAGATTGAATTCCACACATCAAATTTATTTCAGATGTTATTATCTGTGGCAGCTTGCCAGTTCTGCCTGCCACTCACACAATGTCTCCACAAGGTGTTTTCCCCGCACAGCTCCGGCCAGCCTGCTTTACTTTCCGACAGCATAGCATCGGCATCAGTCTGCACCTGGTGGAGGTGTGCTCAATAAGTTATATTTCCACATTTTGTATTTTTGTGGGATTTGTAATAATTCGATTTAGTATAAGCCTGATGGTTCATCTCAGTTCTTGTGCACTCAGGATATTTCACACTACTCTCAACTTTTGTTTTCACTCTCCAGTGACTCACTCCCCTTCTGCATTGCATTGCCTATGCTCATGAGAATAGATGGGGTTCCTGGGTCTCTCTGAGAAGAGAAGCCCAGCATCTCCGTCTCCCCGAGCAGGATGAATAATGGATGGGAATGGATCAGATGACTGAACTGCTTCATTTGAATCCTCGTGTGGTAACGGCCAAGCATAGATTATCTGTATATTTGGGTGTTTGTGTGTGCTCAATCTGTGTATCAATGCAGCTTGCAAACGGTTAAGTCGTTTATTTTGAGGATTTCTCATATGAGCTAGTCGCACGCCGAAAACTGGTGGTGCCATTTAAAAAGGCAGCCATCAGCATTTTCTATTTGAATTAGTGGAGAAAGTGGTAATAAAATATTTTCACCCAGGCCTCTCTCTCAGTTAATGTTTGATTAGAAATGCAATGGTTTTAAATTAAGATTTCTTCCCCCCCCCCTTGGTATGAAATCAATCAAATTAACGGAAATTGAATTATTTGAGATGGTAATCTATTTAGACAAACCATTCACCATGAAAATGTTTTCCTCCTGTTGTGAATGGAAGAATAATTGAATCAGACCCTGGTAAGTGACCCCCAATGGCTAAGCAAGAACAAGGCTTATTGAAACAAAATGAAGATTTTTTCATGCTTATACCATATAAGTGAACAGGCAGGGGTATGTAAAATTCAAATTACCACACATATGTATACATGTGTATGATATTTTACATGCAGGAGCAGAATAATGGACTGTAATCATGTGTGCGGAAACGTGTGTTTTCAAGCCTCTGCCCTGCCCGTAGCCGCCCAAAGTCAGTCAACTTAATTTAGCACAACAGCATTTATAAAGTAGAATAGTACTACTGCAAATTTCCGTCTCTTTCCCCTCCCATATCAAATTATTACAGGAAATGATATTCCAAATATATCACCACAGGTCATCAATTCTTTATGCCTTCCAGGGATGAAACATGTGCACTCAACTGGTTTCCTGCCTCTTTTTTTGGTACACTTACATTCATGTAGGACCCACTTGTAAATCACATTCATGTATGTTTTCCAGAAAGGGAATCCTATATTTGCTAAATGTCATAATGCTTTGAAATACTTTCTCAACCTACTTATGATTATTTCACAAATGGGTTACATTGAATTGATACGTTGCCATTAAAATCATTTGTTTTGTGGTGAATTAATATCACGTGTTGGCCAAAGATAGCAAACAGACCTGCACAAATACATGTTGTATTCTGTGCATCTGTTCATTTGAAGTAACACAAGTGTATGTAAATGGGATACAGTAATAACATTCATCATTCTCTGTCTTTTCCCCAACAGACAACCCGTAAATACTTAATTGTTCGACACATGCTTCACATTTTATCAGCCAATGCACGCACAGGCAATTTTGCATTCTACCACACCCACAGACGCAGGTGATTGTAATAAATCAGGAGTCACATGGTACCTCACAGAGGTTTAATGGTAATAAATTTGGCAGGGTATAGTGGATGTCAAGTTGGCTGGATGGGCCTGAGTGTGCCTTTCTTGTCACTGTATGTGTGGAGGAGAAAAATTGTTTTAGTCCTCCAAATTGTATTAGTCTAAACTCTGAAAAACCCTCTCTCTTTGCATTTTTTGGCCACTTCAACCCTCTTCGGAGCTTTAAAGGATGATATTGACCCACTTCTACCTTTTTATCTGCTTCAAGTGGTCTATCTAATTCAACATATATAGGGCATCTTCTCTGTCTGATGTACCCCTCAGCACATATACAATCAAATGAACAAATACACCTTCAGCAATGCTAGTCATGCTCCACATGTGATGGTTTGGATTAATTATTGTTATTACTAACAATAATAATAATACAATTTTTTTGTATATCGCTTTAAAAAGGTATTTAAAAGCACTTTACATGGTAAAACCAGAAACCAATAACAATATAAAAAAGGCAGAGAGATGACATTATAACAGTAAGAATAGAACTAGCATCACTGGATAAAAGCAGATTTAAATAGGAGAGCAGACAAGCAACTGAGTTTTGGATGTATTGTAGTTTGTTGATGATTTTGGTGGATGTGCCGTACGATGCTGTTGCAGTAGTCCAGTCAAGAGGTGATGAAGGCGTAGATGAGTATTTCAGCGGCTAAGGTGGAGAGGGAGGGGCGTAGAAGGGCGATGTTTTTTCGATGAAATAAAGTTTTTTGTGTGATTTGGTTGACGTGGCATTCAAAGGAGAGTGTTTGATCAAAAGTCATACCGAGGTTCCGGATATGTGTGGAAGCAGGAACAGCGGTGCCATCGATGCAGAGGGAGAAGTTGCGGATTTGTTTTGTGATTTGGGGCCGATGATGAGGATTTCAGATTTGTCGCTGTTGAGTTTGAGAAAGTTGGCTTGCACCCAGGTTTCTAATATCTGTGAGGCAGTTGGTGATGGTGGAGTGCGTGGTGGGGGTGATGGATTTGGTGGAGATGTACAGCTGGGTGTTGTCAGCATAGCAGAGGAAATGGAGACCATGGTGGCGTATGTTACCAAGGGGGAGCATGTAGAGGATGAAGAGGAAGGGATCGAATACCGGACAATGGGGGGGACACCTTGAGAGACTGGAGCTGTGTCAGAGTTGAATTTATTGACATTATTGAACTGGTGGCGGTCAGAGAGGTGTGATTTGAACCAGGAGAGGGCTGTGCCAATGATATGGAGGGGCTGGAAGTGGCCAGTTGGTTGTGGATAGTCTACATTTTTGCATTGTTGAATGACAGGAAGGAGTTACATTTCTCAGCAGTGGAGGAGTTGTAAAGATTGTCCATAGGTTTGAGAAGTTTCTTTATTGTGGAGAAGAGGACCTTAGG